GGCTGAGCCATCCTCCCACCTGTTGGCAGCTCAGTGGCAGCTCCACTCGGGCCAGGACTCGAACTGCTGTTGCTCAGAGCTCGCACTCTTAAGTGAGCTCTTCACCAACTGAGCCACTCGGCCGGCCCCTTTATCTTTGTTCTTTATATAAATAAACAACCTTTGAAAAACAGACAAAATATGTCATGACTTTTCCGAAACCCAATAGTAAGTTTATAAATGAAATTTTAAATGTTTGATATTAACCAAGTTTATGAAATGAGATAAAACACTATTAGAGTTTTCTTGAAAATCATTGTTAAAAACTGCTAAATGCATAAATAAAATTTTTCAAGAGCTGAATCTAAAAACGTTTCCAGTTTTATTGAGAAATAACTGACGTACTACACTGTATAAGTTCAAGGTGTATGGCATGATTTTAGGTCTGTTTAGGATGATTACCACAGGAGGTCTAGTTAACATCCGTCGTCTCGTACAGACACAAAAAGACAAGAAAAAACTCCTTGAGATGAGAACCCTTAGGCTGTACTCTCAACGCCTTTCCTCCCTGTGGTCCAGCAGCGTCAGCCGTGTCACCACGTGGCACAGGACAGCCTCAGGCTCACGGCTGGCCTCGGACCACCTCCTCCAGGCCCCCCACCCCCTATCTCTTTCTCTCAGCGTTTGCTGTGCTTGTTTGATTTTAGATTCCACCTGTAAGCACAGTGTTTGTCTTTCTCTGTCTGCTTTCAAGGTCCATCCCTGTAGTAAATTAAATCTAAAAAATTTTAAAGAACTATGCTTTTGGAATCGTAACTTTAGTAAATTGGATGTTGAGTTTTAGAAAGTAAGATCTTTTCTGAACCATCTTTTCTACGCACAAAATCTACTCTCAAGAGAACCAACATACCCACATTTATCATGAAGGATTTCCTTTCAAATCAGATCATAAAATAATTCTCATTTAATCTTATTTCAAGAGTTCTGGCTAACATAATGGAACGCAAATAAGAAATAAAGAAAGGAACAGACACTGTGGTTATTCCTGGAGGACGATGACAAGCCTCCCAGAGCTCAGTCACAGCAGAGCTTCTCAGAGTGGCCCCAGGACAGCGTCGGCCTCGCCTGGGAGACATCGCAAGCTCGGTCATGCCACTCACGAGCCCATCGAAACCACGCAAAATGAAGAAGTCACCAATGCAAAGTCAGGCATCTCTGTGGTGGTGGCTCCAATAAGCCACCACAGAGTGACACTGCGGAGTCATTATAAATAAAAACAAAACGGAGACCCCAGTGCCACGTGTGATGTGAGAGGGAGGTGCCTGACGTGCCACATGGATGAACCCTGAAAACATGGGAAAGAGCCAGACATGAAGGGCCGCATACTGTGTGGTGGCCTTTGTGTGACGTGCCTAGAACAGAGAAATCCCTGGAGACAGAAAGTACATCAGGGGCGGGTGACGGCTAATGGGTGTGTTTCCTGTTGGGGTGACGCAAATGTTCTGGAATTAGGTTGTGGTGACAGCTGCAGGATTCTGCGAACATATAAAAGCCCTGACCTGTACACTGTAAGAGAATGAGTGCTACAGTCTGTGAATTTCACCTCGATATGCTGCTAGACAGAAAGAAAAAGGGAAAATACAAGTTTTTATGTAAATTATGAGCACAACTGTGCTCACAAATTGTACTCGCCCAGGCTCAGCCCCACCCTGCACACAGGACAGCGAGGCTACAGGCCTGGCGCAGGTGCGGGGACATGGGGACACGCAGCAGACACACCAGCCAGCCCTGCCCTCCGCCCCCCATGGCACTGGTGCCCAGGTGGAGCAGGCACTTCCAGTCACATCAGAATGCGGGGCGATGGGACCACACACTGCAGCCCTGGCCTGTACCCCAAAGACTGGCCTAGAACTCACCCCACAGCTTTGACTCCACATCCCCCTGGGTCTTGGTGGCCACATATCCTAAGTACTGGCTAGGAGGTCACCTGCCTGTGAACTGCCGTTTGTGCAGGAGATCCTGGGTGCATGCACAGCCACCCCATGGCCCCCCATAGTCCGGCACACCCCACAGGGCCACTCATTTCTGGAAATGCCCAGGTGACCAGGAAGCACAGTTGTCATCTGTCTGTGAGGAAGTGACAGGACCAGGGACACACAGACTGCGCCGCCAACCCTCACCCTAAGCCTGCACCACTGGTGCCCACCAGGCCTGCCCCCACTTCCTCCTCCTTGCGTCTTGCTGCCCATCTGAGGGCCAGAGCCCCACCCTCCTGCACCACCTCCAAAGAGGCCGTGCTTAGCCTAGGGGACAGCACAGACTGAAAGGGCTTGGCAGTCCCCAATCACATTCGTGTGTGTTCTGGGACTGCTTGGGGACAGCCAGAACCACTGCGAGGGGGCCGCAATGATAGCCTGAGAGGTTCCTGCCCCACTGGGTGCATGCCCACCTCACTGAACCCCACCACTTGTCCCTTGGGCCGGGCAGCTGTCAGCCTTATAAGAGTGGTGCACCCTCTACCCCTCCCCAGGCCTCTACCCCTCCACAGCAGCTGTGCCTGAGGGTCCCATTCCAGGAAGTCCAGCAAAGGGAGGGGACAGGGCAACCACACATGTCCAGCTGCCCAGCACAGCTGTATGCGTGTCCCTGTGACTCTCAGGGTCACCTCTGTCTGGAGAATAAACCAAGAAGGGTCGGGAGTGCAAGTGTCTTCCCCAGACCCTTGGAGATGCTGTCACCCCAGCAACGGTGGCTCTGGCCTCAGGACAGCTGAGCTGAGCAGAGCCCCCATCCAGACCGGGGCCAGAGGTAGGACACAT